GTAATGAAATAGCGTTTGTCAAACGACAAAGTTCACTGACTGGCAAGCCATCGCGTTTGTCCGCATGGCCTTGTTTTGCGTGCGTCGATTCGCGTTGCACCTTCGCAGATGCCGATACGCCCTCCCCAATAGGGTTATATGAACGGGCGACCTTCTCCTGCATGGTGCGATGCACATCTTCACATACATTACCGACAACATATGGCGACCGTGGACGGTCGCACCTCGGTGACGGTCTCGGCGCTGACGGCACTCGATCAGATGGTGCTCGGTGATCTTCCAGTAGCTGAGGTGTATGCCTTCCGGTGCTGTGAGTATCATCTACCCACTGTACCGTCCGATCCCTGGAAGCTGTCGTCTTTCGACTGCTGCAGGCTCCTTCTGCCTCAACGGCAGCTGTCTCTGCCTCAAACTCTGCACGTGCCGCCTCCTCCTGTGCCGTCACAGCCTGCTGAGTGAGCTCCGCGAGCTTGCGCTTAAGTTTAGCTTCGGCGGCTTTCTGCCGCGCAATCAAGTTCGCGCGCTGCAACGACGTGGTGGAACATATCACGGAACTTGCCTTTCCCCCCTCAAAGGGTGAGGATTCTACCACCCCCTTTGCTACCTGTGCTCTCGTAAGCATATTGAAAAAAAAATTGGAAAAGGTACTATGATCAAAAAAGTAAAATATAATGAATTTTACCAGATTTCCACGGAACGAAGGACCAGGATGACGAGGATAGCAAAGGAAACGGCGGTTAGGGGAAAGGGTTATATTATTGCAGAAATAAAAGGAAAAGACAGTAAGTATAAGCAGTTATAAAAGAAGCAGAACAAGGGAGTTTTACAAGAATAGAGTTAAGACGGCGTGGCATAGATAAAATATAGATATTTATAATCAAAGATATAACTACTTACAAAATTCAGAAAAACCTTTTAATAAAATCTTTAATATTAAGGTTTCTCTGGACTCAATAGATAAGTTGTTATCTTAACATCAATATAATCTCCAAATATAATGTTTCTTACGACCGCACTAATAAATCTTCTTTTTTATATAAAAATCAATTGTGGTTCGTTTGTCTCGCTAAAACTCGAAAACGGCTGGACCGATTTAGCTGATTTTGGTTTTTAAATTTTTGTCATAATAAAATTACACATCAGATACAGACAATAAAATTACAGATAATGCAGGCCGGGTACCCATGTTAGTAAGTTGATCTTACTCTGGCTTATAGAAAGTGGAAATTACAAAGTTTTTAACTTTTAACTTTTTTTTGTCGGTGCCATGCATATTGATAGATCTGAGTTGTCATTTTCTGCTTGGGTTGGCATGTCACCGACACGATGTTTAAGTAAAGAATATACATTATTTCTGACTTTTTAGTGGTTTTGTTATATCTCAATGTGAGTTTACTGACATTTTATTACTTACATATCAAAAAGAGGTTACCATGTTCAAAAGACGTACGTAAGAATTACAACGTGTGTCTGGAGGAGAGAGGAACCTTCTGAAGAACACAATAAAATAACCATTTATGGTGTTGTTTTTTTGTTTGTGTTTAGAGCTCCGCAGCAACCATATTTATCGTTGCTCCGCAGGGTTAGAGTATTCCGCATTGTTAAGCGGGTCATGGAGCGGGGGTCCACGCGGAGATCCGCTGCGTGATCCGTCGCGGGACCCGTTCAACCCGTCACGGGACCCATGAGAGGCCGGTGCCTCTCGCAGCGCCGCCAGTACAATTTCAATTGCGCGGGTGAACAGTCGATAATTGATTATTTTTGTTGATAATACAACCTACTTCTTTAAAAGATAACGCAGACGAGAGCACAGAAGACAGCCAATCCAACGTGCACTGTCGCTCGTCCGCAAGGCTTTGCCCCATTGCCCGCGCCGCGTGAGGCGCGTCTATGCAACAAACAAGCCACTCCGTGCGCCGCTTTAGCGGTGCGCACGCCCTAAAGTGTGATGCCCACAAAAAAACAGGTTTTTATGGGTGTTCTGTGGTCCTGCCGGCAGCGTGAGGATGGATGGTGCGGCAAGTTCCACTGCCTCATCAGCAGGGGCGTATTTATCCTAGAGCCGAGAGTGCCATGGTCAGGGGCGGAAGAAGCCATATAAAGGCCTTCATTACTAACCTATCATTTTGCTTTGATTTACTAATCGTAGGGTGGGTGGGGTTGCAAATCTTAAGTAGCCCGTAGTTAAATAGGACCCTAATCATCAGCTATCTCCTACTTACTCTTACATATAAGGTGGAGAAGTTGAAGATTTGTTGCACCTGTGTAGTGTTTGTTTTTAAACAGGGCGTGACACTGACACTTATATAACTGACACACGTAGGACAGCTGTTTTGTCTATGATAGCGAACCGCTGACGTCGGCGTAGCTGTCAAACTTCATTGATTGGGTTGGTAGCATTGAGGGAATAGTTGCTTTCTTTTATTCGACTAAAATATTCGACTTGACACTTATAAAAAAAAAAAAGTAATAAGGCAGTGAATCTCGGTTGGTGCGTGTGGATGAATGGATGGAGTTTGACAGTTGTTGAATTTTGAATAATTTTTCCCATATCTATTTGAGTTCACCATCGGGCGTTGTTTTTAATCGATTTTGAATTTTACTCGAAATTGAACTTCCTCGCTGATTTAGGTGGGTACTCTCTTTTCCTCCGCTTACGGCGAGCATAGTTATATAGTTTTGAGTCGATTCGTTGTTTCATCTCGAATGCGGCGGCTGTCTGTTTGACTGTGGCCTTTGCCTTCAGTTGGAGAGAGAAACAAATCATAGACACATATTTGGGAGTGGGCGGTCTATCATCTATGCTCAGTTGTCAAAACAACATTTAAAAATTTCACATTCTGTTTTCGGAAAAGTAATTCGAATTTTGTCTTCTGCCCAAAGTATCTTATAAGGAGGACCATTACCGCGTCGTCGGAGTCGTGAAATAGATCCGAAAAGTTTATATCCTGAAGGATATTGGCGGAAATAGCGCGGAGACGCTGGCCGAACTGTAATTCGGGTTGATAAAGTTTCACAGGTAACTCCTTATTACTCCTACTTATTTTGCAAGTTGTGGCTATGAAAAATAACCTTTCTGTTTGATCTTCTGTGTCGTAGGTGGACGGTTATAGAATCTCGCCAGGCAGGGCAGAACTTGTGATAGGAAACAGATACTTACGGATAGTTTTATATTTCAAACGGTAAGCTATCATCTGACCTCATATCTATTCTCCTAGCACTAATTGAACTGCATTATGCATGATATGGTGATTATTGTCATCAAACATACCTAATCATTCTTGTCAAGTTAGTGAACATGAAATTGATTTCCTTCAACCCGGTGGGATGGGCCCCAGTCATGTAGTGATTCAAAAGATGTAAACATTAACCGTGAATATCCCTCACCCTACCCGCTAGTGATACAGATGTAGATGATCTATGTATTTTCCCCATGTCTGATCATTTTTTTTTCAATGTGAACTTCAGGCTTGTACGCTCTCCTCAAGAAATACTGGAGGAATAACAAGGAGATCCCCTCTCTGTACACGGACCAGAGGGGACTCGTGAGATCATTCCAATAAAGGTTGCAAGCCGCTCTAGGGTTTCATGTAACTGCGGACAAATCCTACCCTGCTGAACCTATCCTAAACAATGTATTTTGATAACTAACACCGGGCGAGCGTGGAGCGGGTACCACCAGGCGAGGTTGGACCCCGACCTACCCCTTTCTATATATATATATATCTCTATAACTGGTTGACTCATTGAGAACCATAACTAACTAAGTGTATCACCAATATCGATCAAACGAGCCGTAGAACCTCTGAAATCCACTAAATAGCTTATTAAGTCTAGTCTTTGTGGTCTCTCAATGGACAGTCCATTGCAGAGTGGATAGAATACATTAGATATAGTTTAAGAACTTATGTAAGTACATGGTAGATTGTTATGAATGTCTGATGTCTATATAATTCTAAGATTAATGCTAACTTGTGATTTATAAAAACTCTCACTTTAAAACTACTATATTCAGCTTAGTTAGGAGAGTGAACGTTGGTAAAATATAGTATAACATTTCTTGCCCACTGGGGGAATTTGTATAAACTCTAACATTGAAAATTACTGTATTCAGCCTCGTTGTGACATGTTAGGTTAGTGAAATATAGTTATAAGGTTTCATGTCAACTTGGCAATTTATAAAAAGTAGAACTTAAAACTACTGTATTAATCTTTTTTAGAATCCATAGTTGGTGAAATATAATTATAGCATTATTTGAATTTTTTTTGGTTTTCTTTCATTGCTTCCCCTGCTCTCTGAGGTAGAGTAAAAGAGGGCAGTGGAGGAGAAATTAACATTACATGTGCTTATTACTTATTTTTTTATAAGTGTCAAGTCGAATATTTTAGTCGAATAAAAGAAAGCAACTATTCCCTCAATGCTACCAACCCAATCAATGAAGTTTGACAGCTACGCCGACGTCAGCGGTTTGCTATCATAGACAAAACAGCTGTCCTACGTGTGTCAGTTGTTTAAGTGTCAGTGTCACGCCCTGTTTAAAAACAAACACTACACCTGATTTGAAAAAAAATAAAGATTACTATTTTAAATTGGTGGCAAAATAGCCTTCGGCTCGCCTGATGGTGCCACTACAGTCCATTGATGCTTGCGATGTCAGGGTGTCACTAGCACATTGCCTATCCTGACTCCATTCCCTATCCCGTGATGCCGGGTAACCTTACTCGTTGAATAGTATTCTGTAAGATGGGGGTTTACTTCAATTCGAGATGAAATCAGCGCTGACTTTTCCGCAATCTCTTAAATTCTGTATGTTCCTGTTCGTTTTTTGTTGTATGTTTTTTCTGAATTATGTAAGATTTCAGACTGAATAAAAGATGTTAGTCTTATGAAGGTATTTACTTATTACTTATCTCGTTTTTACAACCTGATTTTACGGTGACACCGCAAATCTTCAGTAGGTAGTAGTTGTACTAGTAAAAAGTATATATTGCATACGTACCCATTGGAATATCTGCCACACCACAGCACAATTGATAACTACTTATTGTCAAAACCACGCAGCGAGCGCGCGTGTGCGATGCGGACGTGTGGCATCCGAAACATGATTAATCTGCAACGCAACCTAATCCGGTTACGAATAATTGGATATAGGCGATGACGATTAATCACAATTTCAATTATTCGGTGATGTGATGTTCGACACAGGCTCAGCTCAGCTCGACTGTCGATTGCTTCGTCATTGGAACTGATTTGAGCACATAGGGTAAAATCTGGTAATGTCGACAGTGTCCCAGTACTCTTCATTGAAATAATGATTAATTAAAATTTTCTGTTTATATTAAAGTAAAAAAATTCAGCGGCAACTCATATATCTAATAAATAAAATTCTCGTGTCACGGTGTGCGTAATTGAACTACTCCGAAACGGCTCGACCGATTTTCGTGAAATTTTATATGCATATTCAGTAGGTCTGAGAATCGGACATCTATTTTTCATCCCCCTAAATGTTAAGGGTGTTCTACGCTTAATTTTTTTTTTGACCATATTATTAAGCTATTGAAGGCTGAAGTATATCCATACAATTTTAATATGGCAACCAGCGGAAAAAGCCCATTAACAAGGTTTAAAACATACTTATATAAATACCGAAATAAAACCATATCGCAATTCACAATGCATTAGCGCAATCTATGAGAGGTGTTACCTATTTATTTTTATCGTTTTACGTTTATATTATTGGTATATTTCTGTAGTTATAAATCTTATACATGCCGCCCACCAAGGACCTACTTCAGAAATGTCCTTAAAAAAGGGGGAGTAGATGCATCATTATTAAAATATAAATTACATGCTTTTTTTTAGGTGTATAAAAGGACTCATGTTTACATGCAAAAACATAACATCCTAGAACAAAATATCAATATAGTGAAAATAAAAATGAATCTAACTCTTATATAATATGTACTATAAAAATAATATTATAAATTTAAGATATTGGGAGTACACATAGTTTCGAAATGGGTCTTTTTATCAACGTGTCTAATAATTTCTTTACAATGCTAAGTGAGACAGCGTGCTTTTTGGCCGCATCCACGAGTGAGTTCGAGCCCGCGACTAGTAGAACCTTAACGTGCATGTATATGATACGACCCTCGTACGACTGTACGGAGCTCGCACGGATCGAGACGAGCTGCTCCGAAATCGGACGAATACGTAAGCAGCTGTTTGTGAGAAAGTATATAGGTGTATAGGTACCTATCATCTATGTACAACAGTGAATAGCTGTACGCGTAAATTTGTGTATAAAGTGTTTTAAATATGAAGGGTGAAAATTTTCACCCTTCTACCACCAACCCCTATTTTTTTATGGCAGTACGAAGTTCGCTGGGACAGCTAGTACTTATATACTATTGGTGTAGCTTGGAAGTTAAAACAAAGTGGAGCACTCCTTGTTTATGTTTTTTTTCAAAGTTTAGTCAAAACCTGAACGCTACCTGCATTTGATTCCTCATATTGCGGAATCTTTATCGCCAATCTAAGCGCCCTACTGCCAATACTCCTACCACAATACACACAAGAGCAGTAGCGTAACTCAGCCGTTTTCTTGAAATAGATACCTACGACTGAGCCACGGTAATATTATCTATACAATATTCTATCTTCATACAAACGGTCGGAAAGCGTGTCATACCTACGCCACTCGAGTTCGCGCGGCACCCGGTGGGCATCCAGTCGCGAATGCGCCGCAGCGACGACCGAACGGTGTGAATTGTTTTTTAAGTAAGTTAGCCGTGCTTAAACGTTTGTATTGTGAATATTTGATTGAATTAAGTAGATACCTACATAATTTAATATGGCAAAGAGCAATAGTCAATATTGTGCTGTTTTTGGTTGCTTGAACTCATCAACAATTGAACTTTTTATACGAATGCGTATTTATTATACTATTAAATTTAATTATTAATCTTTTCATACGTCTCAGTCGAGGCGTAAATATTTTTCTGTCTCAAATCTATATATTTTTTTTTATTAACTATTGCACTTAAAACAACATGTATTTTACGTAACACTTCCTAATTCATTCACAACTTTTTATTTTCTTACATATGAAATAAAATATTTACAATCACAAAACTATAAAGAAACTCAATTATGTAGATGAAATTAAAATACTGTAGACGGGCAGCCGTACCGCGTGGATACGCCCCGCTCGGCCGTAGGTAGTTATTTCAAGGACAGGGCCGAGTCACAATACTGTATAGATAATATTACCGTGACTGAGCGGAGCGCTAGGCTTGGTACCTACAAAATGTAAAACATATTTGTATAGATTTTACTTCCTTGGCCGAGTGGTTTGTACGCCGGGTTTCATGGTGTCGCCGACTCGAGAGGCCCCGGCTTCGAATCCCGGTGGGGGCAGATGTTTGTGTGATGAATACGAGCATTTGTACTCCAGTCATGGACGTTTAATATGTAATTCTATATAAATATACTTATATATGTACAGTATATGTATTCTATCCCATAACAAGCCTTATAGTGCTTACTTTGAGGCTAGGCTAATTGGTGTGAGTGTTGGCAATATTTATTTATTTATAGTTACTATTGCCACGTTACGGAATCGAAACGGACGCAGACGGCGCAGCTAACTTAACTCGGCCAACGACCAGTCTCGGCGGCGCACGACGTGGCACTGCGTAGATTTGTCTTGACAAGATTGGTTAGCGGCCGTGTAAATGACGTTCGTCTGTGTGCGTGCGTCGATTCGGACGCTAGTATGAAGTCGGAGTACTGCTCTTGTATGTATTGTGTCCCTACTACCACCACCAGAAAATGAAAGGGGCAGGGAATAGATTCTATCTCCATCACTGCACGAATATAAACATATTTTAAGGAATATGTATTTTTTTTAATTTACAGGTATATTTTATAAATATTAGCATTTAAATAAATTGTTTTTCTATAATTTATAGTATTATTTGATTGCTCTAGCATCATTTATTGATCGTTCTGGTCACAATACTTTGAACCAAATGAAGCTCAGGACTCAGGGGGCAGCCCTCCACCAGCAGGACCGACAATTTATTAAAGGTCGCGGTAAGTCGCTGGATGCTGGTAGCTAAGGAACAATCAGCGTTGAGATCTTTGGGGGAGAATAATTCTCAGTAGTGGGCATCGTCATCATTATTCAAAATAATGATATTTTCAAAACTGTCCAGTCAAACACAAACATCTGCCCCCACCGGGATTGGAAAGACCGTAGCATCGCCATAAATGGCTAGTACCTAATAAATTAGATTCCCCTCAATTTTCAATCAATTAGGCAAAAATCAAATCACGTCGAATGCTCATACTATAGTTGCTTCAATTACAATTGAGAACACAATACAACGCAGGACCAAGCGGTCCTTAGATCCCGTGGCCATCCCGCGTATACCCCTAACCCAGCAGCGGGCGACGTAGTGCTTAGACGAAGATAATAAATGTATTATATACATATTTATAATATTTTTTATTTTTTAAGCATGTAACTGCTAGATGTTTAAATCTAAAGAAAATTTTACTAGAAAATATTCCACGCGGATCAGGCAGCAGACGGGACTGGAACCCGCACCCTTCGCTAGCCGGGCGAATGCTGATGGCCGTGTCGAATTTTCTCTAGCCAATCTCTTGTAGGTGAATAATACATACTTAGTAATTTCGAAGTAAATTATTTACGCTGAAAATGAATAATAATGAATGTGAAATTTGGAAAAATGGGAAATTAACCCCCATAGAGGTATTCTGTGAGATTTAATCAATTTCACTTACGGTTTCATTTATTCGGATTTCTGACAAATATCTTATACTGGCTGCACCATATTTCTCGTCGTTAAAGAACCAGCACTATTCGCTTAATATATTACCAACATTTAATAAAGCTGACTTATTCTAAAAAATTAAAATGAAAGGTTTTGACCTGGCAAATTTTCATTATTGTTTTGAATAAGTCACCCGAAAAATAGTTTCAGAAACCCTGTCCCTCTAAGTCACCGCACGATTGCTCAATATACCCTAATATTTCGTTGGACTTCTGCATGAATTATTATAATATAGAAATCTTAACCTACACTCTATGATAATACCGAGGTAAAATTTTTGGCTCGACATGCGTATTTTTTTTAATGCTTTCTGTACACGTCAGTTCCAAAATACGTACTCAGTAACCCAATAACATAGGTGTGGAAGGTGTAATAAGTGCAGCGAGCAGGTGGGCCCGTGGGCGGGCGGTATTTCGGGGCCCGCCGCCCTGACTCACAATGACTCGCCGCTTACGCAATCAGCCCAACTGTAAGCGACTCTGCACTCTCCAGCGCTATATAATCTCGAATCTGACGTGCTCGAGCACAGCATTGTGACATCTTAGAGATACGAGGTTGAAATATCAACTACATTCACATTTTTATACCTAAAACATAGGACTATATAATACCTTTGGTCCATTTTTATTATCTTTTTCCTAACAGGTTATAGAATAAGGTTAAGAAAATGACAATAAAATTCATTCAAGTTAGGAAAAAGTGTATAAAAATTATTCTTTCATGGATGGTTAAGAAAATGGACCAAAAAGTCAATGATACCTGAAAGGCCGGCCAGGCCGTGTAGATTTCAAGGCGTACTTTAATACTTAGTACATTATTGTTAAGGCCGTGAAATAGGCCATTGCAGGTCGAGTCTGAGTTTGAAGGCCGAACCATAGGCGAAGACTTGATTAATACGAGACAGGCAATTGCCATTTCGTGTCTTTTCATCCGAAATCAGCCAGAACAATGGCTGAAGTCGGAAACTTAGTAAACAATGTCCACTGTATCATTTAGGATTTGTCAAGTCCAAATAGGTTACTTTGCTATTACTTTAGGTATTTTAGCTATTTTGTGTCTTCTTTGAAAGTTAGAAAAAACCTATCTGATGATGTTGTGTTTGCTGGACGAAGATTATAATATTTTTTTACATATGTTCGGTTAGTTCTTTTTATGTATGTACACCGATTACGCGATTTTTAATTTTGATCCGATTTGCGCGTGTTTGTTGTTTCTCTCTGAAACAAAATAGTTGTCAATTGGTCCCAAAAAAAATCAGTTTCAATATTTTTTATAAAAAATGCTCCTACATTTTCTATGTATTTTCATTTACAATGTACAACCGATTTTGAATAGATGCTTATTTTAGTCTTTCTAAATGACTGATTGTGAAAATTAAGGTGTGTTTATAAAATTTCATTTTTCAAGTTTTATTTTATGGGTT